AAACACTATGAACGCGTTTACTACAAGGTATATTAATATCAGATATGGCTGATTTTTGAGAGTGCATATGAATGGTTTGAAGCGAAAATGTAATACAGAAAAGTTGAACGGAAAAATGTCGATGATGAATGAGCGGAAAAGGGATAGCCACACAGACAGCACTATTGGATAACCCTTGTCCAATTTTCAGCCAATATATCAATCCATCCATATTTTCGGACAACTTCACTCATATTGTCTTATTTTTTGGCCAACCCTACTACTATTATACATACTATTGTACATTTGGCACTTGGAGGTAAATTAGTATGAAGTTGGCTACAAAATGAGACAATATGAGTGAAGTTGTCCGAAAATATGGATGGATTGATATATTGTCCGAAAAAGAGACACCTATTGGAAATTTTTCGTATCTGTGCATATAGTACACTGTATAGTAAACTATAGTGAATCCCTTTTCATTTGATATTTTTCCGCTCAACTTTTCTGTATTACATTTTCGCTCCAAACCATTCATATTACAATATTGAGCGCTGACCAAAGAAAAAAAGAATCCATTCAATAATTGGGATGGGTATTTAAATTGATCAAGAAATCAATTCAAGTACACTCGCACATTATTTACACTTTCGTGATTTCATTTTGGTATTTATTTCAATGACTTGCCAACATTTTGTTGTTGCCTTGATACGCAATGGCAACGCCGAAATGAATATATTAATCAACAAAGTAGGTACAGTTTTTTTTATTACCTGAAACATTTATTATTGATCGAACGTCATGAACTCCGTGTACAATATTTGTTTTGCATCGAACTCTTTAATATTTTAAAAGTGCTTTCTCGTTCGATTTTTCTCTTTCTGAATCGATGTAGTCGTAGTACATATTTGGGCAAGAGTAAGAGCACCGTTTTCTTATACGGCTTCATTCATTGTTTTTTCATGCTTTTCAATGGAACACACACGTTCAATGGTTTTAGGCGCTTTGTTTTTTTTTCTCTTGTCTGTTGTCGCTCATTCGGTCTCTCTTCCAATTCGCTCATGAATGAACTGAGTAAATTGAATGGATTATCCGCGCTACTTCAAAGTACCACCACATAAGTTCAGTGTGTGTACGGCAAGAGACTCTTGAAGTCGAATGGGAACGAAAATTTAAACGAAGTTATGATAGAGTGAGAAAAAGATAAAAAGTATAAAAAAATGAAGAGAAAAGGAGAGAGAGGGAGAGTGAACGTGAAAACAAAGGAGGGCGATATCGAGAGAGGAATAAAGAAAGAAAGAGAATAAAAACTGAAATGCCGTTTAAAAAACCGAACGAGCGAAAAACTGACAGCATGAAAAAGAAAACAACAACAGTATGTTGCTCTGGATGAACAATGATGTAATCGAGTGAAGTAAAAATCAAGGCGAATGAAAAATTCCACAAAGTCAACATTTGATTAATTATCCAGTCAATGACAGATAGCTGAGGATATCTGCTGAGCATAGAAACTCAGTAAGCTGAGATTGGGACATTTTGACTTTATGACTTGTAGTCATTTCATCATGCATTTATATGGACTACACGTCATAAAGTCAAAATGTCCCAATCTCAGCTTAACTGAGTTTCTATGCTCAGCATATATCCTCAGCTATCTGTCATTGACTGGAATTATCGATGTTGACGTACAAATATGTTTGTGTGTGTGTGTGCTTGTTGTTTTTTCTGCAATAGAATGTTCACTCACGTTCACCTAAATTGATCACTGTTTTGAATTTAGCTCACTGCATCGGCATCGGCATCGGTCACTTCGGTTTCTTAATGAGTCAAATAAGTGCGTTACTCTACACCATTAAAATAATGGGCAATATATTCATTAGAATTGAGTTTCGTGCGGTGTGTGCTTTAACCTGTAATTAGGTACGGCTTAAATATTGCCCACTTATGCGGTAAATTCAGTGCGAAAAACTATTAGAAGGCATACAATGTATCGCGTTCAATTGAAACACAAATGCCAATTATAGACGTTTTACAGTCTTTTTATGCGGTTTGCCCATAATTTTCACCTTTCGATTGTAATTGAGAAATTTCTTAATTGTTTTCTCCAAGAAAAATAAATTAATGAATTCAAAATTTCAATATTTTCCAACACAACAATAATAATTTGAGTTGAAAATTGAAAAAAATACTCATTGCTGTTTTGCTTTGGGTGAAACTTTTACGGCTGATAATTTCGAAAAGGTTGCAAAACGGTTGAAAATAATGTGAAATCGAACAAGTTCTGTTAAAGATTTTTTGTAAAGAACACCGCAAATGTAGACTGATGGTACGATTTTAATATTTAGAGTTATAGTGATGGAAGGAGCATGATGTATTGATGAAATAAACACAGTTGTTTGATGTGTTTGGATATAAACTCTTTATTCATTGTTCTTTGGTTGAAGGTTGTGTTGTGACTGAGTGGATGCGCATGACGTCGCGACTAATTCGGCTAATGCCGTAATTAGCGCAACGTCGTCGCATGTATAGTCAGAGAGTGCATGCAGATGTGTATGATTTACATAGGTGTATGCGCTCTCCGGCTATAGAGTCTACAACTTTCAGTGGTGAGTTGCGTCCTACTTTTTTTGGCCAAGACTTTTCCATTAAGACTTGAGCCAAAGAGAATCCAATGATGAAAAATTCCATTGGTTTGCTATATTTTTCCGCCTTTCAACTCGTGATTCTACAAGTAAACTCATTTTTCAATGGATTAACTGAAAGTGAAGTAGCTGTGAGTTTTGAAGTTCGAAATAAACCAGTAATTCATAATTCATGTCATTCGTGCAATCGTTTGCAGTTGCCATGTCAACAAATTAAGCGTAACGTTGTTGTTGTTATTTCTTCTGTTATTCGAATCACCGCACGGATGTCATCATGATCATTAATTCGATTATTTTTAATCATTTCTGACTAAAAACACACCGAGAGAGAGAGGCATATGGTTGGTGCAACATAGTAACGCCAATCATTAATAATAATTGTCACAGAGAATAGACGCGCATTGAATTGAGTAATAGTAATAATGTCGATGCGTGCGTGTTAAAACGGTGTATATCAACGGTTTTGCGCTGCGAAAAAAAATCTGGGCTAATTCAATAAAAACAATAAAAAAAAGCTATCAAGTCGTTGGTGATTTAAAAATGTGAATATTTTTCTCACTTGTTTGGCGTAATAAAATATTTGCATTGGACAGAATCAGTGTGAGCGCTGGCGCGCGTGCGTTTGCGTCGCATGAATAAATCGTGTTTGTTGTGTGGCTCTAAATAAAATGTGCGGCTTTTGCTTGACGTTGGAAAGTAATGGTTCAAGAACGAATATTATTAAAAGTGATTTGAATTTTGAATCGAGGCGATTCGAGAGTATTTGGTTGGGGTCGCGTGGTGTGGGTTATTACTTGGCAGTACAAGGTAGCAGTGGTTTGGGCAAGTTTGAATATAGATACGCGTGATAAAAACGCGCGCGCAGTGCTGTTGTACTGGAACGTGAAATCCGAATGAAGTTTATTCAATGAATGAAAAAAAAATTGCTTCCAAGAATGACCAACTGTGCACAGGCACTCTCACACGTCATCCATGGAGTGCAAAAATTCCAATTGAGTTCTTGTTGAATTTTCATCTCTTACAAGCATTCACCTTTATGTGCCACATTGCTGCTGAACATGTTGATGTATGGCACACTATTGCCATTTTTCCCTCTTCGATCGCCCCTTCTATTCACTTTGTGTTTATATAATTTGCTTGTGATGAATATGTATTAGCTTGAATCGAATTGATGGCTCTATTTTTATGATACGTTCCGTCGATGTGTTATTCGTTCGCTCTTAGCATGAGGAAGAAGAGAAGAAAAAAGCATACAGCGTGTGTGTGTGTTTTTTTTTCTCGCTCTGGTCGTTTGTAAATTTAGGGTGAATGCGTTTTGATTTCCTGTGACAAGAAGTAAAACACGCTAAGTCTTATGTACAAACATTCACTACGCTATGTACACACATGACCTTATTTTCTATTGTTAGAAAAAGTTTCGTTTTCCTTTTCTCTCTCGCTCGCTCACTCACTCTCTTTTCCCATTCTTTTTATAACATTTGGCTTGTACACTATTTCGCTGCTGTGCTTCAAGATAGAAGCAATAGGGAGAGCGAGCAGGATAGAACCAATGAAAACTTGATATGATTACATTCAACATGGTGGAAAATTCAATTGGAGTTGTGACTGTCGTAAATGGTCTTATTTCTATTTTTTTGTACGTTCAGTTGATTTCTCTTTAACTTTTTAATCGGATTTGAAACTGTTGCGAAAAATAACCATGAAGAGAAAGAGAGAACGGGATCACCAAATAAACACAACCGCAAA